CAAGCCCCATTAAAAATTCATACAGGCGAGTGGTGTCTTGCAGCTCACGTACCTTTCTTGAGAGTCCACAGGTACAATTTCCACACTCGCAAATAGGGAGCGGCTCAATCTGGGAGATTTCTTCCCAAAAGCCACGCAGACGAGTGTAGAAAGCAGAGACGGTGTGCTTCTCTTGTTGGAGAAGACTGATGAGTCGGCGCAGTTCATATGCCCGCGAAGAACTGCCCTTGCCGAAGCGTTCCTGCAGGTCAGCCCAAATCCCGGCAGCGTGCTTGGCGAAGCGGATGCTGCTACGGATCTCTTTGTCCATAGAAGTTTTTAACCAGCCTTTCACCATCGCATCACAGCGGATCCAAGCAGCCCTTTCCAACGCAGAAGACGGCTTGGGAACGGTACCATCAACGAAGCAAAATTTGTTCTTGGCGATAAGGGCATCCTTCATATCGAGGACCCATTCGCCGTAATTGGAGGCCGTCAACACATCACCGACCAGGAGATTGCCAGGGCCATCCGAAGGAGAAAGAAAGTAGAAGGAAGGAAGAGGATCTTCGATTTTTACAGAAGCGCCGCCGGACGGTGTCCCTTTGGAATCTTCGCCGTCGAGACTCGTGGCGGGCAAAAAACACGAAGCTGGAGCTTTTCACAGCTCTGATACCATGATAAATAGTACGAAACAGTACGAAATAGAGACGTCGATTTTACGTTGTTCTTCCTCACAGTGTGTGAGGCTTACATCCACGGGAATATGATCTTATGTTATTGATCGATTACAGCTTACAGCCGCAGTTACATATTTATACCCATCATCAGTAGCATCTAGGGTACAATTATGATTCCATACACAAGGAGTATTAGGAGTAGTACTCTCCACGTTCCTAACAGCAACATGGCCTGCATGTCTAACGTGGACCAAGGCTGCACTATTGACGTGGGATGTGTCCTTCTCCTCGTGGGCTGGAATTGGGGATGGATGGCCCAATAAGCCTTGAATGCTATACTCCGTTTCTCCTTTCTGGGCTCATCAACTTCTTCTCTCTTTAATTTCTCCTCATGAGCATAGTCCATGAAACCGTACCGTACCGGCGGTTCAACCACAAAATACCAGTATTGGAGGTTAAACCGATAGGCGGTATTTAACGGTACTAACGGTTGAACTACGGTTGAACGACGGTTTTGTCATAAAATACCCTACCGCTGAATTTTCCGGTACGATCTCTGGTACGGTTTCATGGACCATGTTCATGAGTTATCAAAGATCCAATCAGCTCATCTAAGCTAAGCCTAGTCAGATCTTTTGACTCCTTAATAGCTGTGACTTTCGGAGTCCATCGCTTTGGCAATGCCCAGAGTACATTTCGTACGAGATCAGCACTTGGATATTCAACTTCCAGGTTTCTCAGACTGTTGACGATTGTAGTGAATCGATCATTCATTTCTTAGATCGATTCCTCTGGCTTCATGATGAAAGATTCAAAGTCTTGTTTGAGGCTGTTGATTCTGGAAATCTTGAAATGAGAGGTACCTTCATGGGTGATCTGCAGCTTGTCCTAGATTTCTTTGGCTGTCTTGCATCCTGTGACTCTATGATATTCTTCAGGTCCTAATGCACAATACATTAGGTTAGTCGCCTTTGAGTTTAGCTGGAAATTTTTCTTGTCATCTTCTGTCCATTTCCCTCGAGCTTCCTCGACTTCTAAGGGCCCATCCATACAATATTCCATAGGTCTGGATCAGTGGAGCAGATGAATAACTCCATTCTATTTCTCCAGTAAACGTAGTGTACTCCTTCTAATCGAAGCGGTCGTGTTTGAGAGAAACTATCAGCCATGTAGATCCCCAATCCAGCCGCAGAACTCGAACCCATCTTCTCCGAAGGATTTCAAGCCTTGATTTCGGAACCAGGCTCTGATACCACGTGTAGGTGGAGATCGAGAGCGAGACCTGGATGAGATTCCTCTCCTTCCTCTCTTCCTGGAAACAGGAAACCCTAGAAAATTGCTTTCAATTGAGAGGAACGATTCAGGTGTAAAAATGAGTAAAATGCAGAAGTTATGTTTGATATGAAATGGACAATTAAAAAGACAATTGGGCCTGTTTGAGGTATGTTTAAACCCAGCCCACAGAGAAAATCCAAACACCCGATGCGAATTAAGCCCTTGAATGAAAATTCCGAACCCAATGCAATTTCACTTTTTCTTCTTCCTCGACTCTGTTTCTGACAAAAACTCCCCTGTTCCGAGCTTATCAATTGACTCTGCAAAACAAAGTTAGAAACGAAAACAAAAGCAAAAGTCAAATGAACACAGTCGGTTTTTACGTGGTATCCAGCGCAGGGAGAATAAGGATCCCTACGCTGACTAATCCACGGTTGAAGGAATTCTTCTTGAGATCTTCAACTTATCACTAATAGTCTTCTTCTTTGAAGTTCTTAGTTACAGATATGAGACAAGAACTCTCAGCCTGAAGCTGGTACTCGAGCCAATCCTAGCTAGGCTGTACTTTCTATCACCACAGAAAGTTCAACCCTCCTAGCTATATAAAGCAATCACACTGATATGCTCTCTTTTTCACAAAAAGACTATAGCCAATCTTGCTCTACTGCTTTTTGAATTCTAAAAAAGGTGTTTATCAACTTCAACTCTGTATCTTCTTATACTCTTGCTTCCCAACGTCTCTTTGGTGGAATTTCCATTTCTGGCTTGTGCGCAGAGAAGGTAAGGTAGACTGATTTGATTCCTCGACCAGAGGTATTGAGAAACTTTCCAAATCAATCTTTCTGGTCCGTTATATTGCTTAATCAGAGCTAGTTAATTTCTTCAGGAGAGCCATTTACGAGCTTCCTTCAACAATAATTTGATTATACGCCCACTGACCTAAAAATTGAAGATAAAATTGATTAGTTAGTTGTACTCGAACCTTATTGGTTGCCTAAGTACCCGTAGCACGGGATCAAAGTCTACGTAGTTCGTTATAGCTTTGATAATTTAATTGTGATCACGTTCCACTAATCGTGATTCTCGTATTAAGGATTTTGTTTAATAAAATTTGAATAGGTTATTACGAGGTTGTTAAGAGAAACATAATAATTTTAGTTGTTAGGTAGATATTTGATGTATTAGAAAAGAAACAGGATTAACTTAATCCTCATTCAAAATTTCTTATTAAGGATATTAAATGATAAAATGAAATGGAATGATTAATTTATGCATAATGAGCCAGTAGATCAATTGGTCTGCTTGTCGATTACAATTTGTGTGCAGTCATCACCAATTGAAGTTCGAAACTCGACAACAACAATTTTGGTGTTTTTTTGTTTTGTAATAGATAAAAGGGATAGTTTTGTATTTTTGCAAAAGGATGATGGCAGGGCCAAGTAAATTGCTAGGAATCCCCTTGTTCTGTGATAGATAAAAGGGATAGTTTTGTATTTTTGCAAAAGGATGATGGCAGGGCCAAGTAAATTGCTAGGAACCCTAGGGGGATTTTTGTCATTTTACAACGTTAAGTATATAATCTTCTCTTAAGACGAAAACGAAACCCTATTCTATTCTAACCTAGCAGCCGACCGCCCTCTCATCTCTCCTCTCTCGTTCTCTGCTTCTCCGAACCAGAGACCCCTCTGGTTTTTTCATCACCGCCATCTCTCTTCTCCCCTCTCTCCTCTCTCTTTCCCCCATCCTTGTGTGGAAAAAACCCAAAAGTACCACTGTTTAAAATTTTTTTTCCAAAAATACCACCCAACCCAAAAAAATTTCAAAAATACCACCCTTTTTCAAAAACCGCCACCCCACCCAGCGGTTTGGTCGAAAACCGCTTGTCGGGGGCGCGGTTTTGGACCAAACCGCGGGCCTAGGAGGCGGTTATAAAAAAAAAAAAAAAATTGGACCAAAACCGCTGGGTGGGGTGGCGGTTTGGCCCAAAACCGCCACCCCAACCAGCGGTTTGGTCCAAAAGTTCGGTCGAAACTTCGAACGAACGTAACTTTGCACTCGGGTATCCGATCGTAGCGATATTTTTTTTCATTTCGCATAACTTTTCAAGATCTACAACTTTTACTAGGATGAAATTTTCAAAACAGGAACTATTTGTGGATATACGGGACCTTGAGAATAACTTTACCTTTACTTTTCAGAAATCCATGTACATTTTGAAATTATGATTATATTAAAAGTTGTAGATCTTGAAAAGTTATGCGGAATAAAAAAAAATTCATGACATTCGGATTTCGGAGCACAAAGTTATGGCCGCCCAAAGTTTGACGAAATAAAAAAAGGTCGTTCGGGGTGGCAAATGACGTTTTTTCGAGACGAAGACGGAACCCGACTGATTGAGACTTGCAAGATCTCAAAAAGTTATTCGGATTCAAAAAATGGAGGCCGCAAACTTTTTGAGATCTTGCAAGCCGCAAACCGCCGGGTCTCGCCTTTTGTCAAACTTTGGGCGGCCATAACTTTGTGCTCCAAACTCCGAATGTTATGAACTTTTTTTTTGATTCCGCATAACTTTTCATGATCTACAACTTTTAATATAATCATAATTTCAAAATGTACATGGATTTCTGAAAAGTAAAGGTAAAGTTATTCTCAAGGTCCCGTATATCCACAAATAGTTCCTGTTTTGAAAATTTCATCCTAGTAAAAGTTGTAGATCTTGAAAAGTTATACGAAATGAAAAAAAATATCGCTACGATCGGATACCCGAGTGCAAAGTTACGTTCGTTTGAAGTTTCGACCGAACTTTTGGACCAAACCGCTGGTTGGGGTGGCGGTTTTGGGCCAAACCGCCACCCCACCCAGCGGTTTTGGTCCAAAATTTTTTTTTTTTTATAACCGCCCCCCTAGGCCCGCGGTTTGGTCCAAAACCGCGCCCCCGACAAGCGGTTTTCGACCAAACCGCTGGGTGGGGTGGCGGTTTTTGAAAAAGGGTGGTATTTTTGGAATTTTTTGGGGTTGGGTGGTATTTTTGGAAAATTTTTTTTAAACAGTGGTACTTTTGGATTTTTTCCTCCTTGTGTTTCTCACCTCTGTTCCAGAGAACGAAAACCTAAACCCATCTCATGCCGCCGCCATCCTCTTCTTCTCCTCGTGTTCTTTCTCATCCCAAACCCACGTGAACTCCAAATCCTATTTCGCTTTCTAATCGAAATCCTGATACGAATTTCAAGTCCCATGGCCGCAATAACGACGATGGCGAGAAAAGATGGCCTGATCCACTGCAATCGACTATAGAGATGCAGATCCAGGTGAAGTTTTTGCTTGCATGTTATTTTCTTTCAATTTACTTGTTGATTTTGAGGAGTTTTTGGGTTCTAACCGATTTTAATTTGTGTTTTTTTATGGGGTTTGGATCTGGATTGACAGAAAGAAGAGAAATAAATCACCAACGCCGACAGACGACGATGACCGAGAAGAAAGCACGGCGGAGACGGAGGACAAATCCCTCAGCGATGATGAGTGAATCCTAGTCAAGTTTCACGAGTTGCATGTTCCGATTTCTGGGTTTTTTTTGTTGATTTGAGGTTCTGATGTTTTTTTTTTGTTTTGGATTGGGGCGACGAGGGGTAGAGGAAACAACGCATGACAGGGGGGAGGAAGAGTCGTCATAGGCAAGGATCTCCAGCGACGACAGTTGAGTATTTTTTTTGTTTTTGTTTATTTCGATCTGAGACAGATATGATACTTCTCTTCTTTATTTATGCAGATTTGAGAAAACGCCGGATCTGTGTGAGGTTTTCTAAACTCAACTCAATATGATTATGGGAGATTAAACTAAAAAAATGGATTGTACGACCTTTAGGATAGCTAACAGACGTGTGTTTTCAATAAAAATGGTCATATATGAGTTTGAATTATATTCTGGAATGGTATTTCTTTTTTGATTTGGCCTAGTATGGTAGGGGTTCAAATTGAAAAAAACGATTTTTGTCATTAAAATTCGAATCTGATAGTTTTGATCCAAACTCAAATTCTGAATTTTGGTAGAGAATGATTTTCAAGCGTATGTGCTTTTGAAGTTTAACAAGAATGGGAATTGCTAATTTTGGCTTCTATGAATCCCGGCCACTGCTTGCAATTTTGGATAGATTATGAACTCAAAATTGTAGTTATTGGTTGTGATTTTGCTAGACTCTGCCAAGTTGTCGTAAAAAATTTACAATAACAAGTTCCGATCAAAATAAAAATTAAATATCAATCTCTATATACAAATCATCCATACATAAAACACCAATCTACAAAATTCAAGGAAATGACAAATTAACCATACAATATAGAAAATTGAAGCAAATCACAAATTATCCATAAACAACAGGATTAATTGAAAGCTTAGTCCTCCTTGTCAACTAAACTTCTTCCCTCTCTTCTCCATAATATCAACTTCATTCTTCACAATTAGAAAGAACAAATTAGACATGTCTCCACAAACATAAAGAAGATTAGTTGCTTAGAATATTGAATATACAGGAAAAATTAATTATATGGGTGTGTGCGGGTATCCATGGGCCGGGTATATCTAAACCCAAACCTAACCCAATAGGCTGAATAGTGTAACGGGTTTAAATCTGAACCCGTCCCAAACCCCGTCAACAATGGTTTTACCTGCGTTGACCTGGTAGGGTCTGGTAGGGTACCCGTGGGTTTGGGTTTTGTTGTTATACCTACTTGCCAGCCCAAGTTTACGTACAGTCGCCCGCATTCCGTGCGCCCCTCCTGACCTCTCTCTCCTCTTTTAGTCTGATGATTCCTATAATTAGCTCTTTAAAAGAACAAAGACTATTTCATAGAGTCACATCACAAGTAGTGACCCTTTTGTAATTAGCCATAGATTGGAGGAGTTTTTGTGTCATTAAGGTTCTAATTAATTAGCTTATGACAATTGAGTTAAAGCTGGAGTGCCACTATTCGCATATCGATCGCGTTTATAGTCGTTTACCCGTTTTCTCCGTGGTGTCGGGCTTGCAAATGATTTTGATTTTTATGGTTTTGGGTTTTATGCTCAGTCTTTTTATGTATTTGGCTACTTTTTTTTTGTCTCCGTAGTTGGTACCTTTTTCCTTATCTTAATGATGTTTTGTAACACCCTACCCTGTACATTTTGTCTAATCATATTGTTCATACAATTGCAGCGGAATTTAAAATTGGTGTTACATTAATTACCAAAATTTACCCAAATAAAATTTCGACATGAACTACTCGTGTAATGGACTAACAGTTCTTGCAACTAGACCTACAAAATAATTTATCTGAATCCCTGCATTCGTAGACATAACAACCATATACATTGGCTTTCATAGGCATAGTCATAGTTTTATACTCCACAAGTGCATACCTTACTAATACATGCCATAGTCGTCACTAGGGGTGGGCATTGGGTGGGTCAGGTGGATTTTGACCATAAAATGCACCCACCCGCGCTTAAACGGATTGATAATTTATAACACACCACCCACCCACATTTAGTCTTAGGTTGGGTCGGGCGGATGGTGGGTGGTGCGGGTGGGTTTGTGGGTTCACCCACATCACAATGTATATAATATAAATGTGTCAACTTGACATGATAATAGGTGAAGAGAATCATCGAGGGAAAAAAGAAGTTGAAATAGGGCGAAAAATGTCGAATTAGTTCTTAAATTGGATAGAAATTCTATTATGAAAGAGTTTTCTACTGATTGAGATGATTATTAGGTGCAAGAAACTAAGAAAAATAATTTCACAAAGGAAAGAGCAGTGATCTAGGCACAAGAATTAGAGGAAAAAAGTAAAGGGAAGAAGAGGGGATCTCTATTTGGAAGGTTGACTTTGAGGTTCAAACTCCAGGAGCAGTCCGAGTTTATATCTAACGTCTCCACTCTCCTCTCTCTAGCGCCAACGAATTTGATTTTTTTGCTGTTGGGTTGAGCGGGTCACCCACACACTCACCCACAACCCACCCACCACTCGGCGGATGGCTCCCAGCGCAACCCGTCCCCCATCCACAGACCCACCCATTTAACGAAATTCAGGTCAAATGCGGGTGGGTCGGCCCAAACCCGCGGATGATCCGCCCGCATGCCCAGCCCTAGTCGTCATAACTTACACAACCATACAAATATACACATTTAAACTTTCCACACCTGTGGATATCTCGCACTACATCAGAAGCTAGTATGCACATGAAAAACGTTCTCAAAACATTTTTACAAAAGAGGTGCGATCACTGGCCAAAATCCCAAGTAGTCGTCCAAGCACAGGATAGGTGAAGACAATACATCATTGTGCCTTCAACTCCTCGTTCTGCTCACACCTATGTTCTTGCTACTGCTACTGCTGATGATGGAATAATAAAACTACTCTGTGCGAGCTACACGGAAACATTGGCCTTATCTTGATCCACACATCGTTAAAACTTTCACCAAAATAATAACTTGGAAAACAAGATAAAAACTACACATAATCTTTAGAAATCTTTTAAACCATAACTTTTTCAAGATTCCTTTCAATACACAATCATTTTTTACAAAATGCAAGTGACTATGCACACATCATCAACGTTGGTCCCAAATCCTAGGAAGTTTAGTTCAAGTACAGGTATGGTGTACTCCCTCCCCTTTTGAGGGCGATCAATCCTCAAGAGTGGAAGTAACATACCCATAATGCAGAAAACAAAACGGCTCTGATACCAAACTGTAACACCCTACCCTATATGTTTTGCCTAATCATATTGTTCACACAATTGCAGCGGAATTTAAAACTGGTGTTACATTAATTACCAAAAATTACCCAAATAAAATTTCGACATGAACTACTCGCGTAATGGGCTAACAGTTCTTGCAAGTAGACCTGCAAAATAATTCATTTGAATCCCTCAATTCGTAGACATACATATATACTAACAATCATATACATTGGTTTTTATAGCCATAGTCAAAGTTTCATACTCCACAACTGCATACCTTACTAATACATGCCATAGTCTTCACAACTTACACAACCATACAAATATACACATATCAACTTTCCACACCTGTGGATATCTCACACTACATCAGAAGCTATCATGCACATGAAAAGCGTTCTCAAAACATTTTTACAAAAGAGATGTGGATCACTGGCCAAAATCCCAAGTAGTCGTCCAAGCACAAAATAGTTGAAGACAATACCTCATTCTGCCTTCAACTCCTCGTTCTGCTCACACCTATGTACTTGCTACTGCTGATGCTGATGATGGAATTAATGGATGGGGGAAGATTTATATATATGCAGCCCGACCGCTTATTGTTTTATTATTATTATAAAATATATATATATATGGAAACGACTCGTATGCGTCAGACACATACTATGCGACAGGATTCTCTACCGTAGATCTAATCTAACGGTCATTATAAATTAGATTAAAATTAGTAATAATGATTACTACATGCACCCCTTAAATAATTATATGTGCTATGAAGCCCCCCAAAAATAATTATCGTTCTATTTTCTCACATGATACCTATTCGTTTTTTTGAGAACTCAGATGATACCTTATTTCTTCAAGATCTTTTAATGAACACCCAAAAATTATACAATTGATGAAATAAAGTTCCATTAAAATGTTGCCCCAATTCGACAATCCTAAACCACCATCATCGTCATTACTATTTTTCTAGATACCCCAATTGCAAAACCCTAATTTTACCATCATCATCATCGTCCCTGCTTCCGACCTACATTGACTTTGGCTCATCATCTGTTTTTAATGTCACAGGTGTTTGGCTCATCATCTGTTTTTAATGTCAGCTACCCTTTCGCGACGAATCCGAAGCAATTGACGGTGAACGACTATGACATTTACGTCGTGTAAACAATGACTAAGGCTGAAATGCAGAGAGGGTATTGGGTCTCGTCAAGGGAATTCTCTTTATCGGAGTCCAGAATCGTAACGGAGTGAGAAAGTTTGGACGATGAAGAGAGACGGCCGTCGGATTACGGTGGTGAGTGGTGACGGCGGCGACTGGATAATTGGGAATTTGGGGGGGGCAGGGAAGACAACGGTACATGAAAAAACGCCATCGTTTTGTGCTCGTCTATGAATCGAAAGTGGCTTGGAACGGCGTCGTTCTATAGGTGTAGCTGAAAACAAAAAAAAATTGAGATGGTGTGAGGTTCGAACCAGCGTCACGGTCATTACCATGGGCATTTTTCACCATTGCTCCTGAACAAGCATTTTGATTCCATATACTTCCACTGTTATATTTATAATTGTAAAATCAGTTCTAGTAAAATTAAAACATAAAAATAAACTAAGCAGGCCTTTTGTACCAGGCCCATTAGGGTTAGTCGAGCCGATCGGCGGCAATCCTCCTTTTGTCTCTTTAACAATAATGAATTGTAAAAAAAAAACAGAGAACAATAATGGCAAAGTTGAAAATTGGAAGACTACTTACCTACCAAATCTAGCAAACGATTCATCTTCTGCTTTTTCTCCCCTCCCCATGCGCTGCCTTCTCTGTTTTCCTTCAGACACATACTCAACCGCCATCCTTCTCCCTCCGCCTTCGTTGCATG